GTCCACTGATTTTCTGAATTTAGATATTTTATTTTTAAGCTCTAGAATATGTATGTAACAAGTCTGCATAGATGCTAATTTTCTGGCGAAATGAATCTACCTTCTTTCTGTTCATTTTTCTTCGTTTCTCTGAAATAGTAGTCATAGGTATTTTTGTTCATTTTGCCTTTGCCACTCTTTGGATCATCCTTTAGCTGGCTTCTATCTTCTTTTTTACTCTTTGTTGTTGTTTTCCCTTTATTACTGACCTTAATTTCTTCCTTTTATATATGTAATAATGCTTTGTTGTATGCTAGGAGGAGAGCATGGCAACCCACTCCAGTATTCTTGCCTGGAGAACTCCATGGCCTATAGTGTTGCAAAGAGGCAGACACAACTGAGTGACTTTCACTTCACTTCACACATGTTCTATATATGTGGAGCCATAGGAGTTCAGAGTAGACGTACCTTCAACTTGAAAAGTTTATATCTTTTCTTTGTTTGGAAGATAGGCTGAATGACTGATAATACAACAGAGAATTGACTTTGGTCAGAAATAAGTGGAAAGACATATATACCTTACTATACTTTCTACTGGGAACCTATAAGCCTGTATTTTCTCAGGCGCAAAACCAATGGGTGACTATGTTCTAATACTCAAATCTTCAAAACTAAATCCTCTAGCTTATACTTCAAGCTCCTTCAAAATCAGCCAAATGTTTTAAAGGGAAGAACTTACATGTTCTTGAGTCAAACTCCCTTCCGCTAGGTCTTTTCTCCCTAACTACAATAGACTGTAGATAACTCTGTCCTTAAAGACTTCAACCTATTGCCCAGCAAATGAATCTAAACTCAGCAAAAGTGGTGTGGGAAAAACTGATTTTGAATTTGATGCCCTTAAGTGCCTAATTTATCAATCTGGTGTGTTCTACACACCAAGAATTTTTCAGGTTTCTTTTTCTTCAACAGAGGAATTACAACTGGGTAGGCCAAACTTGATCATTAATTGATATTCAAAACCATCATGTTACAGGGAACATTTATGTTCCAGGGGAAAAAGTACTGATAGTTCAAATTGTTTTCTCTTCCTTGTAATTTTTAAATCTTCTAATCTTCATTTCCTCCACAGTTCTGTGATTTTTCAAAATATATGTCATTTTCAGATATGTACTTGGCATTGTACAGCTGTTATTTTCAGAAAACTTGTTTGTCTACAGAGCCTTACCTAAAATGGAAAGTATCTGTCTTACCCCATTTTATAATCAAAGAAACTCAGAAATTTAGAGACAAGTGTTATCAGTTGTCTGGTAACAGTTACCAGACAAAAATTACCATTCTGTAATTTAAAAAATTTTGTTGGAAACTTGCAGTAGATTTCAGTAATTTCCCCAAAATAGTTAAGGGCAGTGGTAAAGAAAAACTCAAGCAAACAAACAAAAAAAATGGATATTTCTTCAGTCCCACTTTCTTCATTATACCAAGATGAGTTCAGTTCAGTTCAGTTCAGTTCATTCACTCAGTTGTGTCTGACTCTTTGTGACCCCATGAACTGCAGCACTCCAGGCCTCCCTGTCCATCACCAACTCCCGGAGTCTACCCAAACCCTTGTCCATTGACTTGGTGATGCCGTCAAACCATCTCATCCTCTGTCATCCCCTTCTCCTCTTGCCCTCAATCTTTTCCAGCATCAGGGTCTTTTCAAATGAGTCAGCTCTTCGCATCAGGTGGCCAAAGTATTGGAGTTTCAGCTTCAACATCAGTCCTTCCAATGAACACCCAGGACTGATCCCCTTTAGGATGGACTGGTTGGATCTCCTTGCAGTCCAAGGGACTCTCAAGAGTCTTCTCCAACACCACAGTTCAAAAGCATCAATCCTTCTGCGCTCAGCTTTCTGTATAGTCCAACTCTCACATCCATACATGACCACCGGAAAAGCCATAGCCTTGACTAGATGGACCTTTGTTGGCAAAGTAATGTCTCTGCTTTTTAATATGCTGTCTAGCTTGGTCATAACTTTCCTTCCAAGGAGTAAGCATCTTTTAATTTCATGGCTGCAATCACCATCTCCAGTGATTTTGGAGCCCAGAAAATTAGTCAGCCACTGTTTCCACTGTTTCCCCATCTATTTCCCATGAAGTGACGGGACCGGATGCTATGATCTTAGTTTTCTGAATGTTGAGTTTTAAACCAACCTTTTCATCCTCCTCTTTCACCTTCATCAAGAGGCTCTTTAGTTCCTCTTCACTTTCTGTCATAAGGGTGGTGCCATCTGTATATCTGAGGTTATTGATATTTCTCCCAGCAGTCTTGATTCTAGCTTGTGCTTCTTCCAGCCCAGCATTTCTCATGATGCATATAAGTTAAATAAGCAGGGTGACAATATACAGCCTTGATGTACTCCTTTTCCTATTTGGAATCAGTCTGTTGTTCCGTGTCCAGTTCTAACTGTTGCTTCCTGACCTGCATACAGGTTTCTTAAGAGTACCAAGATGAATACTATAACAGAATTCAATCAGAGAAGAATACTCAGTGATTTTAGGGGGATAGAATTGAATATAAGAAATTAGGTATCAAAACTACTTAGGAGCAGGTAAAGGGAGGCATTGTGCTAGTAACTGGTTAATAGCCATAAATACTAATTAAAGATGGTGATTTCATTCATGGAGCTAAAGAGAAGAGGATGGGATACTTGAATCTAGAGTACTGTAGGACTGGCTCCATGGATCTCAACAATGAGACTCAAAGCTCTTCCTGCAGGTACTACTCGGCTAGTGCAAAGGATTTAAGACATTGGTAGAAAGATCAAAGACCTGGGGCTCAGTCCTAGCCAGCTCTGCTGGCTTGTTTTAGACCCACAGTGAGGTTGGTCTGGAGTGAATTTTGTTTTTATTTTTCTTCTATTTTGGATTGAATTTTTAAAAAGGATATTGAAACTAAGTATAATTGCCAGTGTAAAATCTGTTATTGAGATAAGATTGACACACACAGATCACCCAGATTTCCAAGTCCCTGGCGTTCACCCTACCACAGATCTGAGGGCTGATACTGTAGAAATGTGCTTCCTATAATGCAGAATACAAAATGGGAAGCAGCTTTGGAGCTGAAAAGCAGTAACTTAAAAACTGATAAACCACCCATGTGTCATGCCTTTTTCTAGAAAATATAAAGAAATAAATCTCAGGAAAAATAAAATTTCTAATTGTTTAAAATAAAGAAGAATAAGGAGAAACATTATAGGAGTTATGTTTTTAATGCATATCTATTCAGATACATTTTTTTGGTAGTAACTGTTTTTATTTCCCATGTTGCCTCGGAGTTTTTTGCTTTGGATTTTCCTCTTGAGGCTGATTTTTTCTTTTTTTTTCCTTAGGCTTTTTCCTCATACAAAGCAACAGAAGACAACATAATAAAATTAACAATGCAATAAATAATGCTATTGCCAAGTAAATCTTGGGTATTTTCTTTCTCTTAGGGGGTGGGCCACTGTCAACACTACCTCCATCGCCTCGTTTTACGCAATTGGGAGGGTCCCACTTATAGTTGCAGTGGCAGTGATGTTTATTGTTGCAGATCCCCCTCATGTTACAGAACGTAGGGGAACAATTACTATCCAAGCGAGAGATATGGACACACTTCCTTCCGATGCAGACATGCTCTGGGCCACACTCTGTGCCATCCCTCACTTCACCAATGTCAGGTATGCGCATCCCAAAATGGTAATCTGTACCCCAGCAGGTGGCACTGTTAAAGCGAGTTCCATGCATTGTAGAATGCTCTGTCAGAAGAGGAATTTCTGCCACATTATCACACTGAATTCTTCCACAGAAGATGTCCGACATATTGCATTTTAGATATGTAGGGCCTTCGGTTCCACAATTACCGAAACGGTCACCTTGAGTGTTTATTTGTCTGTAGCAACTGTCGTTTGCATTCTTTGCTGTTTGGCCAAAAATCTGCCTACAGTGTGCATTGCGATCATTACATCTCTTTTCATAGCAGTAGGAAATGTCATTACAGGGAATTCCATCCTCTACATATACATCATCTGGGCACATGTGGGATGATCCATTGCACCACTCTGGAAGATCACATTCATTGACCTCCTTCCTACACATTTCTCCTGATGGTAAGAACTTGCAGTCCTTGCAACAAAGCCCAAAAGCACAAACAGACCCAAAACTCAGACTGCAATTTGTCAGACAACAGGCATCTTTTAAACACTGCTGTAAAGATCCACAGTCACACTCTTCTCCTTCTTCAACAACACCATTTCCACAGCGCTTCCTTGAAAATATGTCCTTTGTATATATAGTGTACCGCAAACATTTTGCCTTCTTTATAGCATATCCCCAAAAAAAAGAATAACTACAGTTGCTAAACTTGGCTATTGGTGGGTTGTCATGACGCATTATACATCTATTGTAACCTGCTGAACACACACACAATATAGTATCATGGGTCATTCCCAAATTATGACCTAAATGATGAGCCACTGCAATTCCAATAATGACCAAGGTTTTGTTTGCAAAAGTAACAGCTGCGCAACTGAAGTGTGGTCTGCACATTCCTCTGATAAAGCCTATACCACTTAGTCCTCTTAATGTCTTATGCATAAAAATATGTGTAGTATCATGTGCTATGCGAGCATCAATGTTATTAGCCTTCCAGACGCAAAAATCTCTCAGAGCTCTCTGTACAGCATCTATTTCAACAAGGTTTCTTTGAGTCCAGAACTCCAAACCAATTAGTAACACCTTCATACCCATTACCTGATAAATGGAATCCACTATATTTACAATAGTAAATAAATCCTCTTTCACCTTTGAGACATTCTTTTTAAAATAATTATATAGAGTATAGTCCACCACCACTGCCATTTCAATAAAGAATGAGTGGATCCACCAGCCTTCATAATTACTTTGTTTCAGAGTAAAATTACCAGTCTCTTGAAACTCAAATTGCTCTACAGTTTCCTCTTGCATAAAACCAGATTTCATGTTTGGTAACTGGGTCTCTTCACTCTCCATTTTATACACCAGGTGTTCAAATTTGGTAGAAAAAATCATGGGCTTAATTTCATAAACAACATTATTTATCTGTAATAATCCTCGAAAGCCACCAAAACAGGTACTGAGGGCAACAAGGGATTCTGGGTCCCCCTCCACATAACCATGATAGTAGCAGTCGTTCTGGACAAAAGGTTGGTCCTTCAGGAGAGCACCCTCTTCTGAGTAGGTGAACACTGGGAGGTGTCTGGACAGCAGATGTTTCTTGACCTTCATGTGGAAAACGTGTCTCTGACCCCCTAAATGCAAGCTGTAAGACAGCCGACCTGGAGGCTTCATGCCTCTGCCAGTGCCAGTTATCTTCAAGGGAATTACCACTTCTGGGGGACTGTGATATTGAAGGTTCTCCGCCTGAGTGTGTCCTGTAAAAAACAGAAACACTCCAAGCCAGTGTAGCAGGGGTATGACCCTCATATACAACAGAGATTTGATCACAGTCATTATGAAGCTACCATTATTGGTTCAGAGAGGAAGGCAGGCAGGGCTGGGAGTCACAGTTGGTCTGGCTCCTTATTCTGAACTGGTTATTGTGCAGAACTAGTCATTAAGTCTTTGTCTTCTGCCAGAGTGGAACCATTAGAACATCGGCACTGTAAGTAAAACAAAATACAACATGTGGATGGGGATGGTTAGAAAAGGGCCTGAAAGAGAGAAAAGGAAACATATACAATAAAAGTGATTACTGTTTTGATCAAGGAATGACTCTAGAAACTGCACAGAATTTGTTTTTAAGTATTTATAAGGCAGAGAGGCATTGGGGGAGTATATAAGGCTGAAAATTGGCCATAGATTTACAGTTATTGAACTTGAATGATGGATAATTAAGGATTCATTATACTGTTCTCTAAATATATGTGTGTTTGTAAACATTTACACAATAAATAGTTCAAAGAAAAATAATCTTAAGGATAAGGCGACCATAAATCCTGGATTGCTGGAATTATCCTAATTTACATATGTTAAATTGATATCAGTAGTAATACCTGTTTTTCTCAGCCTCAAGCCATAAATTACTCAATTACCTAAGATACATGTTAAAAGCAACAATAGCACAATAACTCAGCGAAAGTCTCCTGTTATTTTAAAATCTGTTCTATAGTACCTACCATTACCTCCCTACAAGAAAATGTTTAGTTTTCTTTCATCTTTCTTGCATTAATCTCCTCATTAGACTTGTCACATTAGTAGTACTCAAGAGTATTATCTATGTCTTTCATAAATGTTAGTATCTCCTATAAAGTCTAACTAAATTCTTTATATAGTAAATAATGGTCAACTTGACTTTTATTGTTCCTTGGAGTTCTTACTGAAAAGGCATTTACACTTGATTACATTTTAATGTAGAACACTGTTCAATACCTGTAACCAATTTGCTTTTGGAACAAAGTGGTATAGGCCCACGTTTTTCTGCTTATTTTCTCCCAATACAACTAAATACTCTGGATATAATTAAATCGAAGACAAAAAATACCTCTGAAAGCTAAAAAGCAAAAGACAGACTGACTGGAGGTCTCCAGACTTGAGGAATGGCAACAGGGTGCCATAGCTCATATTTATCCCAAATTAGGTGCTAGAGAGGTCTTTAATACAGAATCACCATTAAGCATAGACAAAAGCAGGAAAAAAAGCCTCAAAAATGATTTTCTCCTTCTTGAAAAATGACAGACAATTAAAAAACTCAACAGAGAACCAGAAAGATGCTCCAGCATCTACTCTTGAGCAAGTCACACGTCACTGATTCACCCAGAGTGACAACTTCAGATATTTGTAGGCCAACTCAAAACACATTCCATAATCAGAGAACTAGTGGACTGTTCAGTCCACTTACACTGGCAATATAAAGCCCTGGCAGGTCAGCCTAACCCTCATTCAACATCTAGGTAACTGATCTGCCTTCAGAGGCAGCAGCAAAATCCCAACAATTTGATCCAACCTCAGCTCAACACTATGGCAGAGAATGGAACCCTATATTAAACATAGCAGTATCATTCATAAAGCCTGAAATATCCCACCCCTTCACCAAATGACATAGGAGACATAGCATATTGGCTTCTGTTCTTCACACCTCCAGAACTGAATATGGCCCAGTGACACCAGTTAAATCCAGAATAAAGATTCATTAAAACTGTGCAAAGTCAAAGACAAGAAAATTTGAAAGTGGTAAAAGCAAACAACATGTTACATACAAAAGAACCACCATAGAACTGTGAGTAGATACTTCAGCAGAAATCCTGCAAGTCTAGAGGGAGTGGGGTGATGTCAAAATGCTGAAAGAAAAAAACCTATCAACTAAGAATGCTATACTTGGCAAAACTGTCTTTGAAAAAAATAAAGAGGATACAAAGACATCACCAAACAGCAAACAAGAGCTGAAGGAGTTTATCACCACTACAATTGCCTTAAAGCAGTGCTAAGGGGAGCTTTTCAAGTTGAAAGAATGCTAAAGAACAACATGACAGTATAAAAAAGTATGAAATATACATACATATTTCATATAAAAACACATAAATGTAAACTCATCTATAACAAAACTAGAATACATTATTACTTTAATTATGGTGGGTGAGCATATGGTGTTCATAGGTTGGATATTCATACAGTGGGTGTTCTTATGGTGAACGCTTTTAATTTTAGAATCAAAGTCAATCTCCTGGAGGAGGGCAAGGTAATCCAATCCAGTATTCTTGCCTGGAGAATCCTGTGGACAGAGGAGCCTGGCAGACTACATTCCATAGGGTCACAAAGAGTCGGACACAACTGAAACAACTTAAAGTAAAAGATGAAAGAACTATAAGTAACTAAAACTAAAACACCTACATAGTAAAAATTGATATCTAAGTTGTAACAACAATAACATAAAATGTGAGCTGAAGAGAAGTTATAGTGTAGAGTTTTTGTATGCAATTGCACTTAAAAAAATTGCATACTTTAACAGTGATATTTTATGTAAGCCCCAAGTTAACCACAAAAAAATATAGTTATAGAAGTTACACACATACACAAAAAAACCCCAGAAAGGAATTAATATATGTAAAATACCAAAAAATCAACAAAATACGACATCGAAGGCAACAAGGGAGGAAGACAGATAAGAGAACAAAAAAGATTACTAGAAAACAAAGAATAAAATGACAACATTAAATCATTCCTTAACAAATAATAACTGTAAATATAGATGGATTAAACTTTCCAATCAAAAGAGAATGACTGAATGGGTGTAAAAAAATAAGACTCAATTATATGCTGTCCAGTGGAAAAAACATTTACTTTAGACATAAGAAGACCTCAATCAAATCCCTTATGATTATACAGTGGAGGTACAGTGGAGGTGATGGATAGATTCAAGGGACTAGGTCTGGTAGACAGAGTGCCTGAAGAACTATGGATGCAGGTTTGCACCATTGTACAGTAGGTGGGGACTAAAACCATCCTCAAGGAAAAAAACACAAGGCGGCAAAGTGGTTGTATAAGGAGTGGTTGTGTAAAGGTCTTACAAATAGCTGAGAAAAGAAGAGAAGCTAAAGGCAAAGGAGAAAAGGAAAGATATACCCATCTGAATGCAGAGTTCTAAAAAATAGCAAGAAGAGAATGAAAGCCTTCTTAAGTGAAGAATGCAAAGGAATGGAGGAAAATAACAGTATGAAAGATTAGTGATCTTGTCAAGAAAATTAGAGATACCAAGGGAGAACTTCGTGCAAAGATAGGCACAGTAAAGGACAACAAGAACTTAATAGAAGCAGAAGAGATTAAGAAGAGGTGGCAAGAATACACAGAGAGCTGTAGAAAGAAGGTCTTAATGACCTGGATAACCTTGATGGTGTGGTCATTTACGTAGAGGCAGACCTCCTGGAATGTGAAGTCAAGTGGGCCTTAGGAAGCATTACTACTAACAAAGCTAGTGGAGGTGATGGAATTCCATCTGAGCTATTTCTAATCTTATAAGATGTTGCTGTGAAAGTGCTGCACTCAATATGTCAGCAAATTTGGAAAACTCAACAGTGGCCACAGGACTGGAAAAGGTCAGTTTTCATTCCAATCCCAAAGACGGGTAATGCCAAAGAATGTTCAAACCACTGTATAATTGCACTCATTTCACATGCTAGCAAGGCAATGCTCAAAATCCTTCAAGATAGGCTTCAACAATATGAGAACCAAGAACTTCCAGATGTACAAGCTGGATTTAGAAAAGGCAGAGGGACCAGAGATCAAATTGCCAACATCTGCTGGATCATGGAATAACCAAGGGAATTCCAAAATAATCTACTTCTGCTTCATTGACTACACTAAAGCCTTTGACTATGTGGATCACAGCAAACTGTGGAAAATTCTTAAAGAGATGGGAATACCAGGCTACCTTACCTGTCTCCTGAGAAACCTGTATGCAGGTCAGGAAGCGACAGTTAGAACTGGACATGGAATAACAGACTGGTTCAACATTGGGAAAGGAGTATGTCAAGTATCATCACCCTGCTTATTTAATTTATATGCAGAGCACATCATGCAAAATGCAGGGCTGGATGAAGTACAAGGTGGAATCAATATTGCCAGGAGAACTATCAGCAACCTTAGATATGCAGATGATACTACTTTAATGGAAGAAAGCAAAGAGGAACTAAAGAGCCTTTTGATGAAGGTGAAAGAGGAGAGTAAAAAGCCTGGCTTAAAATTCAACATTCAAAACATGAAGATTATGGCATTTAGTCCATCACTTCATGGCAAATAGATGGGGAAAAAGTGGAAGCAGTGGCAGATTTCATTTTCTTGGGCTCCAAAATCACTGTGGATGGTGACTGCAGCCACAAAACTAAAGCACATTTGCTCCTTGGAAGAAAAGCTATGACCAAATTAGACAGCGTATTAAAAAGAAGAGACAACACTTTGGTGATAAAGGTCCATCTAAGTCAAAGCGATGGTTTTTCCAGTAGTCAGGTATGGATGTGAGAGCTGGACAATAAGCTTGAGCACTGAAGAATTGATGCTTTTGAATCATGGTGTTGGAGGAGACTCTTGAGAGTCCCTTGGACAACAATATCAATCCAGTCAATCCTAAAGGAAAGCAACCTTGAATCTTCATTAGAAGGATTGAGGCTAAAGCTGAAGTTTCAATACTTTGGCTACCTGATGTGAAGAGCAGACTTGTTAGAAAGATGCTGACACTGGGAAAGATTAAGGGCAGGAGGAGAAAGGGGTGACAGGGGATGAGGTGGTTGGATACCATCACCAATGCAATGGACCTGAGTTTGAGCCAACCCTGGGAGATGGTGAGTAACAGGAAAGCGTGGTGTGCTGCAGTCAGTGGGTCACAAAGAGTCAGACATGACTTAGTGACTAAACAACTACAACAACAAAGCAACAAATAGTGAATAACTCCGTGAATATACTCAAAACCACTGTACCTTACACATTAAAGGCTGAACTTAATGTAAATTATAGCACTATAG